AATAGAATGGTCAAGTCTAAAGCTTTTCCCCACCAAGCAGCTAAATAAATGAAGACATATGATGTTGCTTCTGAAAGACACTCTAGTCCTGCGGTGGGGAACCAAGTAAGCTCAGGATATTTTGGACTGCAATTCCTGTTAACCACTCATGATGGCAAATATCATGGATTATGAGACTTGTAATCCAAACCATTTGAAAGAGACCAGGCTACCTACCCCTGTTCTAGTCTATGGAGTATCTTTTATATACCCCATAAAAATGGCATTCTTTCTCAATCCCAGGTATTCTAAACTTACTTATTATAGGAATTTTCTAAGCAGAATATTATTGATTTCTTTTAATATACCTGCTGTTCTATAGCTATAGAGTGTTTGCAGCTCACCCAGCGGACCCAACCAAGTTCTTACAGACATGAAAAGGGAAAACATCTTTTTGATCAATGTGTAAACTTGTTCACACATATTGAAAATGAAATGCATTCTTTTAATCGAAACTCTTACTATACTACTCTGTTTTCTTTTGAATTATGTAAAATAAGTTTAAAAACTGCCACAGCAAAACCTGTACATGTAGTATTTGTACGTTAAAGTACAGACAAAGTTTCTGAAGTTCCTTTGTGTTTGTGAGACCCACATTCTCAAGCCATAGTATAACCCTGTTTCTTAAATATTAAGCAAACGTAAAACCTGAACTTCAGCAAGCTATTGTAGCCCAAAATGATTAAGCAGATGTGAAGCCTGCAGCAGCATTAGACCTCTGATCTGATTTTTAGCTTACAGATGGAATTAAATTAATTCATGGCAATCCCTGTAAAATCAAGGGTATGGCACTGAATGCTAGTGCTCTGTTTAACCAGAATGTACCTGTTCCAACAGCTGTTGAGAAAAATTACATGCCTAATTTTCATAGAAATCTACCTTTAATGACTTCATAAATATTATTTTGAAATAAAAATTTAATTGCAAGGTTTGTTTTCTCTCTCTGACTTTTTTTTAAAGAAGTGCCTTGATTTACTATATACAAACTTTATTGCCTTTTTGCTTTTATGGGCATAATATTAAGTCTCTGAAAGATTTGCATACATAAGGATTGTCCCCAGAAATCATGAGAAGTATGCCTCGATAAAAGTACAAGTCTGTATATTTTGCCTAACTATCATAGGGGATTTTGCAACTTTTACTTTGCCAATGAAACTTACTGGTCCAGTGAGAGCTTTTCTCTTATTTGTGCTGTGGGAATCACTCCAGTAAGTTACCCACTCATTTAGCAAATAAGGTACTTTTGGGGGTAACAATCAAATTTTGCCATTTCTAAAAGGTAGAAGGGGTTTTATACCATGGAACCCAGCAGATTATTTGCAGAAAGCATTCACTGCAGCCTCTTAGTTGATGATAACAAAGTATATCCTGCAAAACGGTTGGGAATCTTTTCTGCCTTTCACAAGCTGTTTCCATAACAGCATTTCTTCTGCATGGCAGCAGTTGGCATTAATAACCGCTGTAATTATAGTGTACTCCCCCTAAAGTCCTTTCTTGCTAAAGGTACTGGGTGCTCAGTTCTGAAACAACCCATCAAGACGTTAAAGCAGTATTTTATTGCATAAGCTTACTGCTGTACTAAGGTGAAGATGTTGTTTTAAATAGAGCATATTAGTAAAGTCAACTAGATAGGAAAGAATCTTACAACTCCCAGTATTGTCTAACCAGTCACAGGACTCTTTCTGTCTAAACGTGGATGGGATTACACCTTTAATAAAGTAAAAATAGTTCTGTATCCCTTACTTTGAAGTGGGTGAATACTGAGAAGTTTTCCATGTCATTTCCCATCTAACTCAGGTGGCATAGAAGAGTTGCAAGGAATAAGGTTACAGTAATGGCACTCAAACAGAATGCAGTGCTCAAAATAAGGCAGATAAAATACCTACAATTTGCTAAATCATTTCAAAAAGTCATTGTCAAATTGAGGCTTCAAAGTCTTCCACAATCCATAAAAATTGATTGTATATAGTACATCCTGATATAATACAGAAGCCTGATAGATATATACCTACCCAGTCACCAAAATACGGTGATTAGTGTTCTATGTTGAATTTGCATTCTCCATTTCTCAGCTCTCAATAATTTTTCTTTTCTTTTTTTTTTTTTTTAATTTGAAGATAACGATGGTTAGCAAGATGGACTGATGTTTTTGGCAACCACAGTGCCTGAACTGTATTTTGCAAACCTGTTTCACCCCATATGTTCAAACTGATTTGGTACCAGTGATGACTAGTGGAAAACTCAGTGCAAATACAGTGGTAGCCATAGTTATCTCCAAAGCAAAAAGGAAGGAGAATGCCCACTGAGGAAGACCACATGATTCCTTGAGGCACTTCTGATCTCCAAACATGATTTGGCAATGAGGCCATGGTCTACTGGGCACTTGTGCTAAGAATAGTTCAAGAGAAAGGGAGCATATTTATAATTCAGGAGAGAGAGGACATATTAGAAAAGGAGTTAAAAATAAATTTTCCAGTTTCATAATGTCCATGTATAAATATATCATGAAGCACTTGGAATACTGGATATTATCCAATTTGACACGAGCACAAATATAAATTACATTAGCATCATTCAGTGCAACACTGATAGCACATGCTGGTGTGTTCACCAGAAACCCATTGTGCCAGCGGTGGTATTGACATCGCACTTACACTGGTGCAATGTAATTCACATTGGCCCTAGTGTCAAAACGACTGCATCCTGCTGTGTGCTGTTCTGTTCACCACATCTCTAAAAGGATATTGTAGAGCTGAAAAGGAAGCAGAAAAAGCAACCAAATGATAAAGGACTTGGAACTAGTGTGGTATAGTGGTTAAGAGCATGGGACCGGGACTCAGAAAATTCGGGCTGTAGTCTCCACTCAGCCATGACACTCAGGATTGTTGTGAGATAAGACTGAGAGGAAGTGAAATATGGAAGCTGCCTTGAGTTCCTTGAAAGGCAAAAAAGATGGGATATACATATAATAAATGGAGAAAGATTGCTTTTAAGCGCTTGAGCCTAGAAAAATGGAGAAGTAAGTGGGGACATGACATACATTCATATGTATGGTGCGGAGAAAGTGGACAGGGAGATGTTTTTATTCATCTTTCATAATACTACAACCTGGGATAATCCAATGAGGATAAATAGTGAAAGATTCAGGACAGAGAAAAGGAAGTTCCTTGTACAGTTTATAGTTACACTGTGGAATGTACCACTGCAAAAGGTACTGATGGTCACCAACTTCAACAGCTTTAAAGGAGATTAGACTTTTGTATATTACCTCCAATGTATACCAGTTTCAGGGAAACAGAATAGCAGAATGTAGTTGCACAGGTGTCTTGTCTGCAGACTACCCAAGAGACATCTAGTTTGCCACTGTGGAAAAATAATACTGGATTAGATAGACCATTGGTCTGATCCAGCATCTCTGTTCCAGCTACTTTTAATAGGGTATGCGACAGTAGCTAGATTTTGATCCAATGGAAAGTGTTTTTAACAGTAGATATGTTTCAAATCTGGAAATAATTATCTGACTAGCTATATAATATCCCATTTAAATTGTCTACATTGGGTGGCAGCAGTTTTCTGGAATTTCAGACTGTCTCCCCCAGGTACCAGGGATTGAATCTGGGACCTTTTACTCTACCACTGAGATATCACCCTTCCCTTAGAATCATAGAACAGTAGAGCTGGAAGGGGCCAAGAAGACCATCAGGTTCGACCCCCTGCTGGTGCAGGTCCTCAATTTACACCATCCCACTTATTCTGGAAAGTGTGCACACATTTAAGATGGGGAAGGGACGGACAGGACACTTGTGAAGAAGAAAGCAACACTTAGAATAAACCCTGTTTGGCATATTCCATTTTGTCATCAGATGCTCCTGTAAGGCAAATTATGTTCTGAGAGTAGGTGGCATTACATCTAAGTGAGTTTTCACTAGTTGAAGCTGGGTCTAAAATGAGTGCTAATCCACATTAAAACCCAGAACTCAGTTGGGACTGTGGTAGGAACAACAGTATGAAGACAAGTAAGAAAGCCACTTCTTGACTTGTATATTTATAGGTACTGAGTAGAACAAAATGCATAGGTTTAAACTGATTATTATATCCTATGTTGAGGAGGAAAAATCATTATATTGCATATTAAAGTACTTAAGCATTGGTTAAAAACAAAACTCTTCCAATTACCTGTCAGTCATGGAAAATTGCATACTTTATATTGAGATGCTGGCATCAAAAATAGATACACCACTTTATAAAGCTGCAGGTTTATAAAGTACAGGTTGTACTTCATTCTGTATACAGTGATGGTTTCTGTTAGCATAAAAGACTATCCCTTCTCTGAACATGTATTTTAACTTCATGTATTCATTCTTATATTTGTATCCCAGTGAGTGGAAAAACTACAATAGGTAGCTCCCTCACCTGTTCCATCTCAGATGAAAGACATTTTGTTCCCTAAGACAAAGGATCTCCCTTGCTCCACATATAGAAGCCAACAAGGCTGCCAGATGAAGCATTTCTGGAGTGGTACCAGGTCAGAGTCTTCTGCTATACCTGAGGGCAGCCGGCTGTACCAATAACATTCATTTATATAGTTTGATCTAATTTGTGTGGTCAGTGTAGGGTTTGAGAAGTCAGCTCAACAGTTCCAATTAGGTGAAGGAAACTGAGCTCCTTAGTTTTCATTTGTATAGCACTCATACCCACTGGATCATGTTGGGGTGTTCAGATTTCCAGCACATTGCTAAGCATTTACATAACATAATTTTACTTTGAAATAAGGGGAAAGGTAGCTGATTATGTTCTCAAATCAGAATGCAACTTCAAGGTCAATATTTACAAAGACAGCCTGCTCTATCAACTTATTAGATTAATTAGAAGAATATGGTTTCTGGCTTCAGGAGAGATTATCTTGGTCTTCTACATATGGTTGTACAAATGCTAATGCTACTTGTTTTCTTCAATCTCAGGGTTTGTAGGAGAAAATGCCCAACCAATCTCGGATAGCAACATTGGCAATCGGATGCTCCAAAGTATGGGCTGGACACCTGGTACAGGCCTTGGGCCAGACAGCAAAGGGATAGCCGAACCAATCCGAGCAATCCAGAGGCCAAAGGGACTTGGACTTGGATTTAGCTGACCAAAAGGCACTCCAGCTGCTCTTCAGACATCAAATTGACCAACATTAACTTTTGAAATAACTGAAATAATTCTTTTCAGCTGTTATCAAAATACCCAGTGATTCTTACTGTAACTTTTGAATACTGAAGCTTCAGTGTTTTCTATTAAAGCTGCAAGGGGCTAGCCATTAGGGCAGTTCTGATGTTTGAATCCTAATTCTGTAATGGTGCTAACAATTTAAATTGTACTTTTTTATTTTCTGTGGTCTTAACTGTTTCTATTCTATTGTCAAACATTCCAAGAATTCACCCCCTGCACACCTATCTTAAAGGCTTGCTGACATCAAGTTAATCTTTTTCAGCATTTTCGTATGAAAGGCCATTCTTGCTAGAGTTCATTCTCATGGAGGATTTGCCTTTGGAAAGCTGCTGTATGAGTACCGAAGACAATGATGGTGCTGTTTAGCAATCACGCTCCTGCACTTTTCTCAACCATTCCAGAAGCTCTTGGTGCACTGCACACCACAATAGCATGAAATCAAAGCTGCTTTGCAATGGGATGCACTGTGGGGCAGGTAGGAGGGACAGAGTTCACCTTTTTAAAAGACTATAGTTCTTTCTCTGTGTAGCCTCAGTCTCACCATCTAAACCTACACAGGCTCATTAGACAGACACTTTGCTTCACTTCAGCCTAAAATTTAATTTGATATTTCTCCTGGTGTAAAATACCTATAGACAAAGTAACATAAACCTTCCCTTGCTTCCCAGCATGCAATTTTGCATGAGATACGCATGGCAAATGGCAACTTTCTCTTCTAACAGTTGCAGCATATAATTCCATCCTCCTCTCTCTCTCAGTACATGCTTTCCAAGTACACTTCTAATTGGTCATTGTCTTAGCTGGCATTGTTTTTAAAGCAAAGATTTTAAACCAATTATACCGCCATCTTTTACCTAATCACTGTGAATGTGTATTTTGAGCAGATTTTAAATGGAGCAGTATCATTAAAGCCCCTCAAGTGTAGTTATAATCCAGGAAATATTTCTTCGTGGATGAGTGGTGGCTGCTGGGGCTGGGGAGGGCGGGCGAGGGGACAGGGTGCTTCCAGTGCACATATTCTTAAAAGAAGGCGACAAGGTGAAATGGTAAAGCAGGTATTGCTTTGATAATACCATAACTTAACAGTTAGTGTTTTGGCTTGCCTTTATGTTAACACCTCAGATTCATTAAAAAGGTCTTCTACCAAAGGACTACAGTTTGTTTTAATTTGTATGAACTTGGGTTAATCATACCTGTGTCTCTGGACAGTTTACAAAACAAAGCTTGTGAGGGGATGTCACATGGAGATGGGTAGAGACCTGTTCTCCCCTGCAGAGGAAGGCAGGACGTGCTCCAACGGAGCAAAGCTCAGGGAGCCAAGATTCCATTTGGATGCCAGGAAGCACTTCCTGACAGTCAGGACCCCGAGGGTGTGGAATGGGCTTCCCCGGGAGGTGGTTGAGGCCCCATCAGTGCGGGTGTTCAAGGATAGGCTGGACGTCCACATGGTGGTCATGTCGTGAGCGGAGCCGGCTGGTGCCAGAAGTCAAACTAGATGGCCCGGGAGGCCTCTTCTGACAAGCTCTGTTTTCTATGTTTCTGTGTTTCTATTCCTGAGAACAACTTTAAGTCAAATGTGTATATATCATTACCCTAGGCAGGCTCAACACCTAGGCAGGCAGAGATTGATGGGCAGCAGGGTGGATGGTACACCAAGGAGAACCCTAATATGTCCCAGGTAGCCAATACAAGATGCAAATACTCAGGCTAGGCACACAAGTGGACAGGAAGTCTAGGGGACAATACAGGAAGTTCCTCGGATCACAGTAACTCAGTCCCCAAGCCTCAGATCTATGTTGGTGGTGTGCTGAAAGACTCAGGTGGGCTCAGTTGGAAAAGACTAACCCTTCCCAAGTCTTGCACCCAGATCTCGGTAATGGACATCAGAGTGGCCCTGTCATCCACAATTAAATCATGGTTGATTTAAACACCCAAGAGGCAATATATTACATCACAGAAATAAATACACACTGGTGTATTTTCTGCTGCTCCCAGTTGCTGCAGTGCATTGAGCTGGCAGATACATCCTTTTGCTGCTGTCCCACTGATACTACCCTGAGTGGAAAGGAAAAAGTGAACAACTTCTGCCATGTGGCCCAAATACAAAGCAATCCTTCCAGTAGCAGGCTGTACCACAAACAGACTCTGCCAAGGTGCAGCCCTAAGCATCAGGAGGAGGGACAGAGGGACAGCTTCAGCAAAGATGCGTAACTGTTGTAGGAAAGTTCATTATGCCCAAGGATTTTCTCTGTGCTCTATGCTATTTTTCACTTTGTTCCACAAGATGGACTATATGGAGTTGCCCAGCAGGTCAGCCACACTCCAGTTCCCCTTAGATTAGAAGCCACCATGAGAAGAAAGGGTGATACAGGATCAAACGAGACGGGCTTCAGTGTTTCTTTCCTATAAGGGCATATGGACCCAATTCCAAATGTGACTGCAGCACTTTGGGAAAGCAGGATTTCAGCTCCCCAAGCCATTTTTGTAGTGAAATTCCGCAAGTGGTGAGATTGAAAAAAAGAAACACCTGGAACCTTCTTTCCTTAACCCCCATGGGTGGCAGGACAGAATGGAAAAATTGGGTTGGGGAAACCTTAAATGCTTCCCTCCTGGAGCACCAGGTTCCCAGTCTGAATCAGGGTTGCATGCACCTCCCAGTTGCCACAAGTGGCTCCATGACACATGCTTTCTGCTACTGTGTTCCTTAAGGAGCATTTAGATTAGCCCTTATGCTTGGCATGAGAGCAGAATGAGTCAGTGATTGGAATGGGAAACTTGGCTGCAAGTGGAAGGACCAAGTGGGGGTGGGGAGGAGGGTATGTGTGTGAAAAGTGGATGTTCAACAGGCTTGTTTTAGTGGGAGGCCTGTTTGGCTTTTCCTTTGCAGAGGCTCACATGGATGCAACACCGGCACTTCCCCCCCCCCTTTCCTGCTTGCAAGCTCAGCTGCAATCCCTGCAGGAGAGCAGGAATTAATTTTCTCAGTAACTGAACACTGTTTTCTATTGTAATGCAAAACATTGAGTGGAGGCAGCAGTCATGTGTCCTTTACTCCAAGTCTTGAGTCAAATCTCAAGTCTTTATCTTCAAGTCCAAGTGGAGTCTCAAGTCATTGCAAGAAATTTTCAAGTCAAGTCTCTTCTCAAGTCTCAAGAACCAACCTTAACAGAAACAAATGAGGGGGCGGGTTGGAGAGTTGTAACTCCCCCCACACACAGATGTTCCCATCCGCACTTCTCTCAGTGATGCATTGAAGTCTGGGTCAGAGTCAAGTTGCTAACACGCCTTCAGTCAGACTTGGGAACAAGATGCTCGACTTGAGTCCCCAAGTCCTCACCACTGGGAGGCAGGGGCCTGCTCTTGGACTGGCCATTGAGCTTTACTAATGAGATGAAAACTCCAAGAAATGGATAAAAACAGCTGCCTGAATTTTGGGACTCTCCTTAGCATAGCTATGGGAACTGTTGTGATACACACTTGCATTTCTTCCACTCTACCACTGGTAATAGGTACACTGAATTACACAACACAGTGAACCTGCCATAGAAAATGCTCTCATGCCATTCTATTTCCACTTGAAAATGTATTTCCACTTGCAATATGATCTTAGGTAAGTAGATCCAGTGCTCAACTGTGGCCCTGTAACTGAAGTAAGGGCGTGTTTTTGAGATTTAGTACTTTGAGTGTTGTATTCAGATTTTAAAATAATTTATTGCAAGCAAGACCTGCCTTAAGACAAAGCTCTGATGTCCCGTGTTAAAATATTAATGTCACTGTTTTGATGGTCAGGACCCCCCACTGAAGAGTTGAACAGATGCTCTGTGATCGAGTAATACATATAGATCCTCTGGACTTTTGGTATGCATGGGGCAATGGGAAATAAGTTGGGCATATAATAACCTTGATTAATTTGTTATTTAAAGAATATCAGAGCATTCTACATGCACAGACAATTTTACTAAAAGTGTATTCAATATATAAATCAACATGAAATAATTTTGCATTTCACAATGTATATCCCTTTTGTGATTAAAATGAAAGCTGTAACTACCTTCAAATATGTTCTGATGCAGAGGGACGACTGTTAATATACTCTTTCTCGATGATTTTGCCTTTTCAAATTCATTATTTTTAATTGAAGTTGAATTAGCTGAAAGTGACTCAACATTCATGTTAAAATAATGTTTTCAAGAGTGTGAACAAGAAGCATTGAAGAAAAGACCAAGGCATTCAGGGCTTTTTGATTTTTTTTCCATACAGTATCCTTGTTTAGATGTATTACTTTTCAGTCTTTTTACTACTAGAAAAGCAACATATTTTAGTAATATATTAATAAGAAAACCTGTGCTATATAAGGCCATTACATTAATATTGCCTAGAGCCAATATTACAAGAGACCTGACATTTTTCCAATAATTTCTTCTTTATAACTTTTTAATCTGTATGGTAAGATAAATCTAACCTTATTGATTCTGTTTCTCTTCAGATGTAGAAATATAGTGGAGAACGTATAAACAAATGTATCTATATCCTGAAAATTAGTACATATTTCCAAATAATAATACCAATTTTATTTGTTACATTGTTATCTCATCCTTCCTCCAAGAAACTCATACTCTCTCTTCTTGATTTTATGTGGACAACTCTGAGGCATTTTAGGCTGAGACTGACTAGCTGCATTAGCTTCCTGACTGTGTGGAGATTTGAATCCATGCCTTTCCCAAAATTGCTTCCCTAGATGTTCTTGCACAACATCTATCACCCCTATCCCACATGACCAATAGTCAGGGATTATTGGAGTTGGGTTCCAACAATGCCTTTCATGCTGTACTTCTCAATGTTTTATCCTGCTTTATGTAACTGTTTTGCGTATCCTGGTGAAAACTAGAGGAACACCAGTCTCTGCAGGTGTATTTTTGCCAGCAAAGCAGTTGAGTGTACTACTGGCATGTTGAGAGAGTTCTGCCAGGATCGATAATCATGCTGTTGTTATTATGTGCCACCAAGTTGTCTCTGACTTATGGCAACCCTATGAATGAATGCTCTCCAACATGCCCTGCCCTTGACAGGCCTGCTCAGGTCTTCTAAATGCAAGACTGTAGAGTTAAACACAAAACTTTATGGAATCAATCCATCTCATACATGGTCTCTTCTTTCCACCTTAGACTTTCCCTGGCATTGTTGTTGGCTCCAGTTAGTCTTTCCCTTTCATGTTATGTCCAGAGTACAACAGCGTCAGTTTTGTTGCTTTTGTTTCCATATTTTCTATGTCTGCACACTGCCAGAATTGTGGGGTTCCTTTGAGATCCTTGGATCCCTCAGCCAGCAGATCTTGGACATAGGATTATCTTTTTCCTAGTTTATGCTATTCCGTCGAGCATCTTGGTAAAAACCTCAGCAGTCCATTTCTTCGCCACAGAATGGAGATACAGTCTAAGCTCACATGTTTTCATCTTTGTTATGAGCTCAAAACAGCTTCTATGTTACTTCACCTCTGCTGATGTAATGAACAGTCCTGCATAATCTTTTCCATACTGACAGAATAGCCTATTATGGGTGTTTAGTAGGTACTCTGGAAAGGCTTGTTCATGTAGACTCACACGATAAAAATAATGAATAGGCCACACCTAAGGGTCTAGGTTAGGATTCTCACTTCCAGTGTGTGTTGCCTGGAACATTATTAGCACAGAGTTTCTCAGACATAAGCATTTTCTTGCATGATTCCAGACAATCAACCATTCATTTTTTTCTACTGACTCCTTTCTAATAGATGAAATGTAACCAAAATGTTTGTTGTTATAGTCATTCTCCTGATAATATTGATTGCATTTTAAGAAATGTTGATCTGTTAGAATCACACATCACCTTAGCGGTACGAATGGGTCATTTTTAAAAGACAACCCCCCTCCCAGTCATTAGGTATTAAATACTCATTGATTTAACAGGTTTGCTGTAATATATATTCAACTGACAAGTGGACCATGAAGGCTCCTTCTGGTGGTCTCCTACTAAGCACAGACTCATTACTTTACACACCTGACATTTTAAGTAGATCCAGATTTCTCTCCAGCGAGTCAGACCCATTAGCTGTCAGTGTGATGATCTACTATTGCCACTTTCGGTTTTATCTGTACATTAGAGTTGTCTCCTGTCTTTGA